AATGCTTTAGTGACAAGTATGGGATAAATTTGACTGAGAACAATTAGAGATGCTTGTGTTTGAAGATTAACAACCTTGAATTTCCTTTTAATGCTTTCAATAATATAACCTTTGTTATTGTACTTGAATATATACTAATAAAATAAGTCCACTTAAATGTTGGAATGAACAACCAATCTTATGATTTGGAGGGAAACCAATTTGATATTTGTTTTAGACCTCACCTCTATTGGTAGCACATAAAAATACAATAGGTCCAAAACACAACTTTGTAGACTGAGTATGATTCCTATCACCATAGTTATATAAATCAAGCTTTTGCTGATGGTATATGAAGTTAGAATTTGTGGCTTAGATGATATACATATTGAGATTTGTAGAGTTTTAGTGATATTGGTGTTGTTTAGCATCATTTTTCAATGTGAGTTTTGAAAACTAATAAGATTCCAAATGATTGAAGAGGAATCATTTTGATTCTAGTGTTCATTAATAAAGGTGATATTGAGGATAATGGATTTAAATATATTCATCATATAATGAGGTTCTTGGATAGACTAATAAAATATTGATAAAACAAAATTGTTTCAATGTTGGACATCAATTTGGTTTTATGGCGTATTAATAAAATCAAAGTTAAAGAGGCTTTAAATAAAATGAAGTGTGGAAAAGCTGTTGGACCTAATGATATCCCAATAGAGGTGTGGAAATGCTTAGGAGATGATGGAATTTCTTGGCTTACTAAGTTTTTTAATATTATTTTGAAGACTAAAAAGATTCTAGATGAGTGGAGAATGAGTGTGTTAGTTATTATTTTTAAGAATAAAGGTGATGCACAAGATTGTGCGAATTATTGAGGAATTACGTTAATGTGTCATACTTTAAAGCAATGGGAGAGGGTGATGGAGCATAGGTTGTGGTGTGACACTAATGTTTCTCAAAATCAATTTGGATTCATGCTAGGTAGGTCTATTATGGAAGCTATACATTTACTGAGAGGTTTGATGGAGTAGTATAGAGAGAATAAGGATTTTCTACATATGATTTTATTGATTTAAAGAAAGCATATGATAAAGTTCCAAGAGAAGTGCTTTGAAGAGTTCTTCATAAGAAAGGGGTTAATAATGCTTTTATTCAAGTCATTAAGGATATGTATGCAGGAGCTGTTACTTGTCTTCAAACACAAGGTAGTTTGACCGAGTATATTTTAGTTGGATTACATTAAGGATCAGTCTTAAGCCTATATCTTTTTCCTTTTGTACCATGGTGTATGCTTTTTGCTGATGATATTCTTCTTGTTGATAAGACTAGAGAGGGAGTTGAAGGTAAACTTGAACTATTGAGGTCAATGTTAGAGTCTAAATGCTTTCGTTTGAGCAGATTTAAAATTGAATATATGGAGTATAATTTTAGTAATAATTGATCTAGTGGGAGGATTGTGACTTTGGGTGATCAAGTCATTAATAAGAGTACACATTTTAGATATCTTGGGTCTATTGTTTAGAGTGATGGTGAAATAGATGGGGATATTATAAGTAGAATTCAAGTTGGATGGTTGAAGTAGAAGAATGCATCGGGCTTGTTGTGTGATAGAAAAGTCCCTCTCAAACTTAAGGGAAAATTCTATAAGATGGTAATGAGACATGCAATGCTTTATGATGCAGAATGTTGGCCATTAAAAGAAAATCATAATATTAAGTTAAGTGTTACAAAGATGAGGATGCTCAAATGGATGAGTAGCTTTACTCTTAGAGATAATATATGAAATGAGCATATACATGAAAAGGTTGGAGTAGCTCCAGTGGAAGATAAGATTAGATAGGGCCGCCTTAGATGGTTTGGTCACATAAAACGGCTGCCTTCCGATGACCCGATTAGGAAAGTAGATGCATTAGATTTGACTTATGTTAGGAAATGTAGAGGTAGACGGAAAAAGGCTTGGTTAGAAAATTTTAGAAATGACCTTTCTTTATTGATTTAGATGAGAATTTGACTTTAACAGGATACAATGGAGAAAAAAGATTCATATAGCCGACCCCACATAGTGGGATAAAAGCTTGTTGTTGTTGCTATTGTATAATTAATAAGAAATTATTAAAGAGAATTGTTGTTTAAAATTACGCAATATGAGGCTTGCCTTGAGGTCCGCCTCAGCGCAATTCCAATGAAACAGGTCTCAAGGCTTATGCCTCGATTTTTTTTATGAACTTGGCTAAGGCCCGCCTTGATGCAAGCCTTGCCTTATTGGCGTGAGGCGTACACCTCATCCGATTTATATATTTTTTATTAAAACTTACCTAAATCCGAAACTAAAGCCTCGAACGAATCATGCCATCATGCACCCCCAAGCTACAACAACTTCCTCTCAACTACCATCCCATCGCCTTTGCCATAGCTACCACCATCGTAGCCACCTACGGGAATCACTAGAAAGCGGCACACCACCACCACCTCCTTTAAAAAATCTTGAGTATTTATCTCAATTTTATATTAATGATAAATATTTATGAAAGAGAAAGATGATTAAAATGTGGATGAGTGGAAAACTGAGAAAGAAGGAATTTGGAGTTGAACTTGATGTTTTGCTCTTAGAATATTTGGATTTCAATTCTATTTCATGCAATTTATCAATTGCCGCTTTACGTCTTATGCAATTTTTTGTTCATATGTATGTCAATTTATTACTTCATAGTTCATTAGGAAATTAATGTTATTTTTAACATATTATTTATGTATTGTATAAAAAATCACTTTTAACATTTATTTTCACTTTACGTAATTTTTAAATTTTGAGGCTTACACCTCAAAACGTCTTGAGGCTTATGCCTCGCCTCACAAAAGAAAAATGCCTTCATACCCAATTGCGCAATTTTAAACCTTGAAGAGAATAATAGATCATATAATTTTATTGGCCGTGAGTAGGCATATAATTGATTGCCATGAGAATTGACATTATGAAAAATAAAAGGTCTGTCATAGGTATACTGACGTTGCTATATATAAATATATAATTGCACATTGACTAGCAATTATAGAGTTTTCAGTCATAGCAGGTGTTCATTAATGATCAACATTAAGTATGTATCTTTTTGTAATTGCTATATAGATTCTTACAAAGGATATTTAATGTGAGGTAGCTTAGCGTTCGTCTTTTGTAGTTAACATTATTTAATAGGTGAGGATGTGGAGATCTCTATTGAAGTAAGTGAAGTTTTTGAACAATAGAGAAAATATTTAGAAGATAAAAGACTTGAAATTTACTTGAAGAAAGGTTGAGCATATGATGTGTAATTTAGTGTTTTTTATAGATCACTATGCCAATATCATTGGAAGATAAAATGATGCCAAGGTGATATAATTTGTATTATCTTGGATCTATTATGTAGTGTGTGGTAACATAATGAGGTTATAACTTCCATAGTTAAGATTGAGTGGTTAAAATAGAGAAGTGTTAAACAATAGTATGTAATAGTATAATATAATGGATATGTAGTGGTTAATGAAATTGCATTTTGGCCAGTTATGCCATTTGAATTTAACTTTTGAGTGTTGGGTAGTAAAGAATTCATTGCTAGTAAGGTTGTGCATTTGATTGGTTCAACTAGTTCAATTTATCATATTTGCTAAAACAGTCCATTTATGTTTTAGTAGCATAAAAGCCTAGTTGACCAAATAAAGGTAAACCCAAAGTGACCCGACCTATCTTATTTAGTTGATTCGGCTGATTCATTTAGAATATAAAAGCAACACTTAAACTACAGTGATTAGGGAAACCATTATTTTTTTCTTTGAATCATTAAAAAATTATCAAATAAATAATTTGACATTAAATGACTATTAAATTATCAAACCATTAAGCTATCAAACAAACTTATTAATTTCTTAATGAAAATCAAGTTGAGGCATGATGGTAACTATAATAATGGATTTTTCTGAGGAAGAGCAGATGGAGTAATTAGATCAAGCAGGATCAAGGAGGTTGTAGGAAATCATCATCTTGTGAATTTTGTTGGGGAAGATGGTTTACAATCGCTGGATTTCTAGTAGTGGAGAAACATTAATGCCTTGATGATTAAATTTTTAAAGTGGGAGGACAAGAACTACAATCAACGACTGAGGAGATGACGTCTTGAAGATAAATAATTTAGCAAGGCTAATATCAAAGTTTTGATATGTTGGAGGTGGAGGAGCATCAAATTCATAGACAATGGTTCAAGGGATTAGGAATATTACTGTAGTTTACATTTGGTCGGTTTATGGCGGAAACCCACTTAAAATTAATTAAATCACAAAGAATTCTGATATTCAAATGGCCCAAAATGGATTTGGTGTTAAACTGATTCTAACTTAAACCTATCAAAATCTATCATTATGGCTAGGTTTGAATCATTTTTTTTATTGTCGAAATTATCTACAACTCTTTGGTTGTCCAAATTATGTACAATTCTAGTTGCTAGAGATATTATTTGTCACAAAAAATGAGAATGTTAAAGTTAAATTTGTGGGGAAAAATTATAGATTGAGCATTATTATATTAGAGAGAGAGTGAAAGTGGCATCTATTTAAGATAACTTTGTGTAAAATAAACTTGGCGGTTTGCCTAATAATGAATTGTAGAAGATGTATTAACAACATAGGTAGATAAAATTTTTGTAATCTTCATTAGAAGAAAAAGGGGTAGACTAAAGAAAACTTTTATAAAATTGTGAAAAATAGATTTAACACCTTCTCAAATATTTATTAGGGCCAAATGGAGAATGAGGATTTTTAAAGCAGACCCCAAATAATTGGCGGTAAGTCTAATGGTGGTGATGTTGTTGAATTATCATATGGTCCAAGCTCATGCAAACAATGGTTCAAGGAAAGGTGATATGTGGCATACATTTTGTAATTATGATTAAAATGCATGCAGGCTAAATTGGTAATTTATTTGTTTTCTCCCTATTATTTTGTTTATTTCTTGTTATTAACATTTTTTTATTGTGTCTTGGTTCGGGGGACAGTTACCTTTTGGAGGAGTGGAAGGAAAGACATCCAGAGTTGACTGATGATATTACACCAAGATTCTCAAATCTTAGATTTGTCTCTCTTGAGGTTTCCTTTCTTGCAAAATGCTTTATTATTTGTTTCTTCAAGAAGAAATTAATTTCTTTCTATTTTAATAATTATGATGAATCAAAAGAACCCTTTGCGTCCCAATTAATGATGATTATACTGGATTTCTTCAATCAGTCTTGCGTCCCAATTAATGGTGATTATACCGGATTTCTGCAATCAGTCTCATTCGTAGAAATGTAAATCTGCTGTTATTGAACTTGTATGGTATTGTGTTTCAGCTTTGAGTCTCATTCTTTTATATACTAGCCAATGAACATGTATGATGCAGATACGGAATTCTTTTGATCTAGTTGTTCATAAAAGAAAACAAGAAAATGAATGATAATAGCTTCACAGCGCAAGCATAGGCAATGCATAGTTATACATTTGTAAGAGAAATTATAAAATTAAAATATGTGAAGTCTGGGATTAGTTTTAAATTTAAAAACAAAAGCAAACCCGTTGGCATGGTGATGTGGAACGTACATGCGAAGATGAGCTAATTAATGAATTTGCACGCTTAATATTTAGAGCACAATAATTATAAACTTTATGTTGATTTTGAACGATAAAAGAAAACACGAAGAGCGGTAAGACAAGTTTAGACTAAATCACATGCATAAATGTTAATATCGTAAAACAGTCAATTTAATCTAGTGTTGCATACATGAATGGGTTCAACAATAAATCCCAATGCTAACAATAAGATTAGTCTCTACAAGAAGATCCTTGATGTAAGCAACTTGAATACAAAAACACAAAGAGAGAACAAAGAAATTCAAGACTAGCTCTTTAGAAATTTAAGACACCACTTGGAGAACAAAATAGGCTAAATAAACAACTTAATTTCAGAATAGAAAAGAAGCGATCATCCAACAAAGCCAAAGCCAAAGCAAAAGAAAGTTAACAAAAGAAACAAACTAAAACAAACAAAAGCTATCCTCAGAACATCCTACTTGAGGACTCCTCACATGCACCGATTGTAGGAATATATATATTTCAGATAATGTTTAGATATGCAAACCAAAGGGTCCACCACTGTAAAGGGGTCCAACATCCTATCAAACTCCTCCAGCAAATGCCACCAAAACAGCCAACAACTTCACCAAAACAGCCAACAAACTTTACCAACGGAACTAGAAGAAAGATACAGGTGGAGTGGAACTTGCGGAGAGACGAAGAGATTAGAAGCCCGAGAAGAAATGTTGGAAAGACACCGCAGGATTTTCGGAGGGGATGAGAAAGAAGACGGACAAAGCTCGCAAGCTTTTCCAATAACCCGCAGGTCAATAGCAATTTTGCTCACAATAATTCACCACCCATTTCATCACAAAACATCTCATATATATAGGCAAGAGAGGGGAACCAAATAGCCCAAGATTTCCCATAAATGGAGTGATAAAAAGCCATCAATTTCCTGTACAGAAATTCCAAACAGCCTAGCAAGTCTCAACAGGAGAAATTATTTTGTGTGGAATCCGCTCACAACGATGTGTTCGGTCTCTAATAGTAGCCAATAAAAACATAACGCGTGGCGTGCTAACGTGGAAAGTTAAGGCCCGTCCATCCTATATCATATAGATGCTATGTTATAGGACGGATATAAGAAACTATAATTCTTATTCTGAAGGTCGAAACATAGCATCTATATGATATAGAACAGACGTAGATCTGCGTAGAATAAGAAACTATAATTATTTTAGAGAAGCATGTGATACGAATTCAGTACGCATATAAAACGCAATAAAATACGCATATTATACGCAACGTGTACGCATACCATACGTGATGTGTACGCATACCATACGCGATGTGTACGCATACCATACGCAATGTACGCAAAGGATGAGAAAAATATCAGCAGAAATCTAGGGTTTAGGGTACACTAATCGTTTTTCTTTATTGGAAGTTTAGTTTTATGATTTAAAGATCCAAAGTACTTATTATAAAATGTTAGGGTTTGTCTTCAACATATACACAGAAAATAAGGGAAATTTACGCAGATTATACACATTGTGTACAAAGAAAATACACAAAAAGAACGAAAATGGTGAGATAAATATAAACTTTTATAGTTACTCGAAATAATTTTAATTTATTTTTTGGTTTCTTCAGCAAATACGCGTTGAATACCAAAGATATTCGTAGTTCATTTTATGTCAATGTAAGAATTTTTGCACCTTTCTCTTTGCAGGTGAATCCTTTCCCTCGTCCATGATGAGAAGAAGAGATTGCTGGAGGAATTCAGAAGATGTTTTTTGCTGGAAGCTCGGGAGAAATGGAGTGAATGGCCGAAATGTGGAATTTGAAAAATGTTAAAATTTTCCGCCTTTTTCATTGTATATACTAGGCGGGCCTCGTATTATTTACTCTCGAAAATACAAGCGGGTCGGGCCTTAACTTTCCACGTTAGCACGCCATGCGTTATGTTTTTATTGGCTACTATTAGAGACCGAACACATCGTTGTGAGCGGATTCCACACAGAATAATTTCTCCAAGGAAAAAGGTCACGGTTCCAGCACAGGGAAACCAAACGGCACATAAGGATTCAAGGCCATGGCTCTCAGCACAGGGAAAACCAACCGGCACATCAAGTCTCAAGAAAAGGCCACGGTTCACAGCAGGTATAGAAATCCCAAACGTCACAGTAAAGCACAAGGAAAGCCACGGAATCAGCAGGTAAGCACAGGAATCCAGGAGGTATTTCACGGGTCAGCAGTTACACATTTCACGGGAGAAAAGGAGGGAAAGCTGCAGCAGTTCAAGAGGGAATCAAGAAGAGGAAGAGGCAAGTTCCACTCACCTAAAAGCTTGCACACCTCAATAAATTAGAGCTAAACATCAGCTCATAATTAGCTACACCTCCACTTGATAATAATGAGCTGGCACCACTAGAATTTCAACGATTAAGGCTCAAACCGAAAACAGTCAAGGCCCACCCGAAATCAGAAAATAGCCCCAAAGGATAAGTTGGACCCCAAAATCGGAAAACCCAAGGCAAGCATAAACCAAACCTTTTCCTACCATGATATTGGATTTACCACCACCATTGGATAGCATAAAAATAAAACAAAAATAGAAAATATAACTAACATTGCTCAAAACAAAAATAATGCAAAAAATTTAAATGCATCAATCCTTCACTCAACTCTTTCAATTTCTAGGCATTAGCGGAGAAGTATTAACATTATCTTCATGACTATAATAATAACTACAATCAATGATGTAACTATGAAGATAGCGAATCGGATGTTGAGTTTACCCAAAGACAAGAGAAATACGCACTCCGGCAGGATCGTTTGAGTGTTGGGGATGACTAAGACAGCCATGATGAGCTTCCTCGCACCACCGATTAGCCAAGACAAGGTGCGGATCTTCAAGATAGCAGCAGTTTTTGATCTGGACAGATTCTGGACATCAATTGGAACCTTCGGGATGAAGGTATGGTGCTAGGAGATTTGTAGAATCAGTGGATAGCAGGTTGTAGTAGAGCAGCCAGCAGTTTGAAGGTTTTAGGCGGCAGGAATTCAAGTTTCCCTTGCTGGAATTCTTCCGGATGCTGTTGGTCAGCAACCTGGATTTGTGGCAGCAGGTCAGCAAAGGGAGAGCTCACCAAGACTGCTAGTCAGCAGTTTTAATGCTTCAGAAAATTCTGGACAGCACTATATAGCAATCAGGAAAACTTGAACTTGGTGTTGTTTGACGTTGGAATCTTTGGACTTCAATTTGGGAATGCACTGGGTACAAAACAGCAATGTACAATTGCTGGAATAGAGATACAGTAAACATGAAACCAACAAGTTTGAAGATACCGTGAAGGGAATTAAGGAGGGGCGGCTAGATTGAAAGTTTGAGAATTTCCAAATCAGAATTTGGGAGTAATGGAGATTAGGAGGAGGAGCCGGCTGATTAAGTGAGCATTAATGAGTTGATTGGAGGCTTGATTATTAGGAGCATTAATTAGATGATTAAATATGAATTAATTTCATATTTGAGAGGTTGAATGGGTTTCCTAAAATAAGATTCATTAATATGGGATTAATTTGAATTTCAATTAATTTTGAATTCAAATCAAGAAGTTTCCATATTAATAGAAATATATTTTAGGAAAGTAATTAAAGGGGATTTGAATTTTGAAATTCAAAATCCATGAGGCATTTGGAGGGGATTAAATTTGAAATTTTGATTTCAAATTCAAAGAGGGTGAGGGCTCAATGAGGAAACAACACAAGCCATGCCCAAGGAAGGGGGGCCGGCGGCATGAATAGGAGGGAGGGGATTGTGGGAAGTGTTTTATGAGTTTCCAAAACAAGCTTGGCCAATTAGGAGTGAAAATAATGAGTCCTCTCTAAATTGAATTTAGATTGTATTCAAAATTTGAAAACTTTCATTAATTGGATTTTGCAAATAAGGAAAGTTTTGGAATTTCAAAATTTGAATTTTAAAATTTCCTAACTCCTTTATGTAATGCAAGAGCATATTTATGGGGTCATTATGACGATTAAAATCATCATAATGATTTGAGTTGTGGGTGGGGCCGACGGTCAAGAGGGAAGAGGCAGGTTTGGCTTTGGGTGGAGGTGGCTTGGAGCTAGGCCGGCGGGTGGGATTGTGGAAGGGGAATTATGTGGGGATCAAGGGGTATTTTGGTGGCGGAATGAAAGTGGAGGGATGACGAGAAATCGGTGGGGAATAGACGGAGATAGAATAGAAAACGTAGACGAAGACCACGAGCCACACTCTTCCGCTGACTGGTGGGTATTACGTTTGCTCACCTTGAGCTCTCTCTCCCTTCTCTGTAGTGCACTCACAAGAAGAAGAAGAAGAAGAAAAACACATAAAATTTCATTATCAAATCATCATCCTCACCAAGAGGAGGGAGAAGGCTTAAATAGCCAAATACATGAATGAAAATAAAAGACACAATTGCCTCTAGGCAAACATAAGACAAAGCCCTCCAGTGAGGGTAGAAAGGGAAAAGTACAATAACAAATCAAATACATAAAATATATCAAAATAAATAGACACGATCGTAGCCGTTGATCTTCGATGTCCTCATCACATGGATAACATTGTTTTTAATTTGGATCAATGCTTTTTGTGTTGTTTGTTTCCTGCATCCTTGTATAACAATTTTATCTTTTTCTACTTAAGAAAAGAACTTGAAACATTGCTTCATCTTACACCAATCTTGATTCAGTTTAAATTGTTGGAAAATATTTCTAGAAGAGAAATTGCTGGTGTGCTGTAATGAAAATGCTTGGCTTTTTTCATTGTGCCAACAGATAGAAAAGCTCAATATTTTATGATATAAGGGTGTATTCATGTCATGTAACTTTGACAAATTCTAGGCTTGGGCATAAGTTAGATGCATGCTGCCTTGATCTTGCATTGCAGAGATGTTTTTGTGATTTGTACTCATTATCTGTAGATCACATTGGAGGTAAATCTTCTGTAATCTTTCCTGATGAACATGAATGCTTTAGGATATTAATAGCGCTAATATTTTTGTTGTTTGGTAGATGATAATGCTATCAATTTAAGACTTCCCTTCCATATAGAAACTGTAGAAGCTTAAACTATTCAGTTTTAGGACATTTTGAAAAAAAAAGGAACCTAATTTTGAAGTTATTTGGCTATAATAGCAGCATATAAAAAATAATGTACTTAGGAGTCAGAAAAACATGTACACTGAAATTAGTTTAACATCTAAATTGTGGAGTTATCTTTATGGTAGTACTATTGGTGGTTCCTTTTTTTGAACTAAAGTAATTTTACCCTGCAAGGCTGCAACTTATCCCTAAGGCGGAATCTGGTCTTTGTTTTCCTTTTAAAGAGTTATATATAGAAGGAAATGGATGATTTTGGTAGTTGGATGTTTGTTGGAGCAATTAAAGGAAGCATGAGATTTATTTGTCTATGGCTAGCATATCTTGGATTTGGCACTTAGTGATGTTCATTTCTTAATTTTTTTTAATGAGCAGCAAAACCTTCTTAATTGTTCATTATCCTTCTCTGTTCAGTCAATACTGCTAAGGTTCATTAATCAAAGGAAGTGAAAGAATATTCTTTTTTTTTGCCCGGAAGGTTTCATTTTGTTAACGTCGACTGACATTTCATGCCGTGTTTGAGGCAAAACTAGCTATTAGAGTTACTGAAATAATTTTAGATCCGGTAACTCGGTCCACTGTTGCAATTAATTGCAATTTCTGATCCATTGTTCCTTTTCTGTTTGAATTCTTGACTGCTATGATGAGTTTCCATGCTTCTAGCGAAGCTTATTTATTGCCCTTATTATATTTATTTCATGGTATCTAGTTATAATATCGTGGCTTAAAAGAAAGAATAGAAAACAAAAAAAATGGAAATTGAATGCACAAAAACACAAAATTTTATATAGGATTATCCAATTGATGGCTACGTCCTTTTGTTTCCATTGTAGTTTTTACTGTCGTTTCATTGCAAAGAATTGTAACTTTAATTCCTCTAATACAAATATAAGATGATACCCTCTTTACCTTAAAAAAAAAAACAAGAAACGCAGAAATAATATACTAAAATTTCCAAATTGCCCTTAATGAAATAACCCGCAACTATGTAATATATTTGACGGGTTCCTTGAATTCATGGGAGGGAGTCTCGTTGCCCCTTCCAACCTATGTCTAAATCTGAAATTTGAAGACGAGACTACCGTAGAAGAGTACTTGGAGCGAGTCGTGCCAATCCTCGCAAGCATCTACGACCGGAAGCTTTCAAAGCACGCTTGGAGCCTCGACGGCCGTCTACGACTTCCATCCCAACCGGCAACTTTTCCTCCGACGAAGTTCTTCGGCACCCTCTCCCTAGTGGTAACTTCTTTCGTCGCTTGGATCTTCTATCTCCGCCAAAAGTCCACTACCACTTGAGTGATACGGACCCAAGGTGAAAGTCTCATTGTTAAACGTTGGGTTTTGTTAAGTGTACTTTGCATATTAAATTCTCCTAGAACTTGGATTGAATCGGCTTGGTTAATCTCTCTATTGCGAATCTTTGGCCTAAGTAAGTTGATATTTTCAAATTTCTAACTCCCATTTTATGTGCTAGTTTAAATTCATAAGAAGCAACACTTTAATCTTTCTTTTAAATTTCTAAGCAAACTCCTCGTAGTTTCACATCAGTCTCGTTGCCCCCTTCCAACCTATGACTAAATCTGAATAGTATGTTTTTTTCATAGGGGAAGAAATGGCTTTACAAATCAACACTTACATTCTCCAAAACTTTCACCCTTTTATAATTGAAATTTTTCGTTAATATTGCGTCTCCTGAAGCCCATCCCTGTTGCGCTGTACTGTTAGTTTCCGATAGTTTGAACAATGAATCAACCATCAATGTGCCATTTTGGTACTACTAAAAAACGTAGATTTGCAAACTCGTTTGTTTTATAAATAATTTCTAACATTTTAAAATTGATTCTAGAAGTGAACTATATCAATTTGACTAAAATCTAGAGGACTTTTCCTTAAGATTCAAGAACTTAAGGAAGCTGCAGCTGATAAGAAAATGAAATAGTCCAAATTTGTGCTGTTTTTCGAGTGTGTGACTCCAAGGTCCTAGTTTTAGCCATCCTTTTGTTTTGTAAATAACTAGAGTGTTTACTTATCTAATTTCTGTCTTCTATGTAATGCAGTTGCCGCAACAAGAAAACTCATTTGATTGTGGACTGTTTCTGTTGCATTATGTGGAGTTATTCTTGGAAGAAGCTCCTGTTTATTTCAACCCAAGCAGGATCACCGTGTTATCAAATTTTGTGAGTTCTTCTAGCTCTATGTTTAATCATGTACATCAAACTTATTTTGATTAATTGTTTGAATCATATATTTCATTATACGCAGAAAGTGCTTCTTTTCTCTGAATAATATAACTATGATTGGTTTTTTTATTCTTCAGGAAATTTTCTTTGTTTTTGGAAATGATAGTGGAGTTCATGTACCCCCTTCTTGTATAGATGACCAACTATTCATTGCTCTTAGCTTGGCAACGTAATGAGGACATTAATGACATCAAGCATGCGGTAGAGAAGTTTATTGTGTTGATGCTAACAAACATTTGCACAATGTTGCATCCATAAATTTAACCTCAAACAAATACTCCTAAGGGAATCTCGATTCAACTTAAATTGGACACATTAAGTCAATTAATGCTCAAAACCCTGTTGAATTGGAAGCTGGGGCCTAAAACAGCCATACTAATTAATCAAAATTAGGAGGTCTTAATTATTCCAGTGGAGATTCTACCAAGGAACCCTTAAACTTGGTAATATATTAAGAAGCAATTGGATAACTCAAGTCGTTGAACATGAATAAGAACAGGCTAATATTATGAAACTGTCATTATTTTGGCAAAAAAATGTACAAAGGCTTGTTAAATCACAACATTTAGGCTAGGCGTGTTGATTTTGATTATCCAAGGTCTTATTGAAAGCACATTATCATCTTGTGTGCTGCCAACAACGCCTACACTTTAACTGCTTTTCTTTCTTTCTTTTCATTTTTTCTTCCATTGAACGCAAGCAAACCTTGCATTTACCTTCCCATCTTTGTTCCAGGAAAATTTCCTCAAGATGCCCTTTGAGAATTCACAAATTTATTATAATGGTAAATGCACACAATTGCAACGGACAGTAGCTTAACTAAATTATAAAAAATAAAATAAATATAAAAAAACCTAATAAACTTAGCATCATTTGTTGAGATATCACCCTCATGGTGGTAGAAGCATGCATAACTATGACGTCCTACTTTTGGCCCAAGGAGAATAAGATCCATTGTAATGTCCATATTATCAGTTTTCTGCCAATACTCGTCTTTAGCAAGGATATTACTCACTGCTCATTGAAAACAGGCCTCAAGTACGTTGTCCTTGAGGCAGAATTTTCTGGAGTTGTCATTTGTGTATCATTTTTATTTGCTTGAATCATGAAATATATTTAGCTTGCTAAGTCTTGTTTTAGGATTATGGTTAATTGCCTTGTTTACCTTGCATTCACCATGTGCATCACCATTACTTGGTAGAGTTCTTCATCCTAGGTTTCATTTTCGTAATTTATGTTTGATTTGCTAGCTGGTCTTGCTTTGGCATGCTGATTTCATTTTTAAGTGATCCGGTAACTATGAATGTGAAATATATTTGAATCTTTATTTTTGACTAAGCTCTTTGCAGCTTAGTGCAGATTGGTTTCCACCTGCTGAGGCTTCTTTTAAACGGTTTCACATCCGTGGGTTGTTATATGAACTTCTAAGAGATTCATCTCAAAAATTAACTCCCACTTGTAGCAATGGTGATTTCCCCTGCTCTGGTGATGATGTCGATCAAGGTGTGGAGTTTCTTTCTGCAGAGGACAGCCCATCGAAATTAGTTAATGGTAATTCTGTTTTTTATAAAATTAACCAAACTTTCAACCGCAAGTTTTCTTTTTGTTTAGTCATTGTAATAAACAAGAGGAACTTGTCTGGTGGGGATTGCTTGGTCCAGGGTCAGCTTCAACTCCTCTTTGTGCAACTCCAGATGATAATTTTGAACATACAGCTAGTTTTGAATCTACTCCTACAACATGCATTATGGAGGTAAATACCATTTCAAAGCATTTAGTTCACGAACACTCTTTGTCACACTGATTTAAACTTTTGTCTGTAGACGATCACTTATATGGCGAAGATCCGTGAGTCTCTTAAAGAAAAAATTCATTGACGTTGTGTCAGTGGTCATGCAATAAATGCGAAGTAATCATTGAAATTTTGGCATCTAGACTAAACTGGCCTATCTACAGTACCTTTGGAAAAAAATGCAGTTTTTTATTTCTCATGTCATGTAGGAAGTTGAAGTATTTTAATATCTATTGGAATTGCATTTAAAATATGCATATCAGTACATGGATGTTCCTTTCTTTTGAGTGGATTGCGGGTTCAATAATAATTGTTTTAAGCTTAGGTGTTCTGCTTGCAATTTAGTATTTGATCCAAGCATTCATCAGGCTCTCATTCGAGTTCTTTTTTATATTTTAGTCTTTTGAACAGCTTGTAATATTCTTCAACAAAAAATAATATTTTTTTCTATTTTTCAGATGAATAATCATTAAAATTGCCTAACTAATGAGAGGTATATATGCTCTTAAAGTTTCATTTTATTTGAGTACTTTAGGGTGTTAATTTCATTGGATTGATGCATGTCTAAATTGTTGTTTTGTGCTGTGAAATTTGAGATCACATTAGTTTTCATGATAATGATTAATATGTTAACATTTGTATGTTTTGGATAGCAAGAAATAAAGAGAAAATGACCGAATTGGTCCCCTAATTTGCCCCTAAATTTTTTTTGAAGGACCAAAATAGTCCCTGATTATATAAATGTATTAATTTAGTCCCTTGACTCTTTAAATTGGGGCCAAATTATCCCTTTCTTTGGATAAATGTCCCTATTTAATAGGTCATGTGACTAAAATGAGACTTTTAAATAGTTTAGTATCATTTTGATGCTTTATAAAGAGTCAAAGGAATCATTTTGATACTTATCTCAAAAAATAAACTTATATAGAAAGGGAACTCAAACATACTTGGCTCGTTAAATATGTGGATAGAAGGAAACATTTTACGTGTACTTCTATAGTTGGTTCTTGTTGACATTTTTAATACATGCTCATAAATGATTGTTATTGTGTTTGACGATGGTTAAAGATGGTGTGCTTAATACTAAAAGTAGAAGTTTGAATTCCTTTCCCTTTAGCGAAGAAGTTATCTCTCCCTCTCTTCATACATAAGAGAGTGTGTGAGTGAGAGAGCTTGACTATGATCCTTACAAAACAAAAGGGGTCTTTAGGACATATTTGAATATTTCAAGTAAACCCTAACAAGATTGTTGAAAACAGTGAAAACTTCACGAATCTAATGGAAAACAACAAAACCGTAGTTTTTTTTATGCTGGAAATCAAACAATAGAAGCAATAAAGCAAGATACAATTGATCCTCAATTTGAGAGGAGGATCTTTCTCTCGCAATCCCTAGACGAATATAGGGCCCAAGACACCAAGAAGAGAACTCCGAAAATCAGCCAACAAAACAAAGCATACCCTAACCCCAATCTTCCCTTCCTACTTAGCATGCAATTAATCAATTAAGCCCCGAAGGACAATTCTGCCCGTGTTGCCCCCTCCTTTGGCTCCAAAATAATTGAATTTGAATTACTAGGCCCCATCTTCCTCTCCCTCTCTCTTGCTGCCCGCCTCCTATACACGGAGCTAGCCCTTGGCAAGAGGTCGGCTGGACCGGTATAATAATACCACTCTCCCGAAGAATCACCTTGTCCTCAAGATAAAAAGAGGGAAATTGATGTTTCATCCTCTCATAAGGCTCCCTTCCACTTGATAAACACCTCCCTTACCCCACTTGTTCCCTGGCGCACCCCTTGTACCTCAAGGGGTTCCAAAATCACCTCCAAATCCCCGTGAGCGTCATTGATAACTCAAAACTTGCTACATGATCTCCAATTGCCTTCCTCAGTTGGGATGCATGGAACACTGGATGTATAGTCGTTATTGGTGGTAGTTTCAGTCGATATGCCACAACTCCAATCCTCTCCACTACCTCATAAGGCCCAAAGTACCTTGGAACAAGCTTCTCATTCCTCATATTGACGATTGTCTTCTGCCTATAAGTTCGAAGCTTCAAGAATACCCCTCTCCACTACATCGAACTAGATGCCTTTCCTATGCCCATATGCTTGTTTCTTCATAATTTGTTGAGCTCTCATCAGATGCCTCTTCGATTCTTGCATCACTGTGTCCCTCTCCCCCAAGTACTCCTCCACTTAAGAAACTGGGGTGCTACTATGTTAAAAATGCACCAGGTAAGGTGGAACCCTTTCGTACAATCCTTTGAACGAGATCATCTGAGAAGCATAATGATAAGAAGTGTTGTACCAGTACTCTGCCCACGCCAACCACTTGGCCCACAACTTGGGTGTCTCCGACACAAAGCATCATAGGTAGGTTTCCAAGCTCCTGCTAACCACCTCCGTCTGACCATCTATCTGTGGTTGGTTGGTGGTGCTCCTCTTCAATACTGTTCCCTGTAATCTGAATAATTCCCTCCAGAAATGGTTGAGGAACATCTTATCCCTGTCATATACTATAGACTAGTACTCTATGCAGCCTGACCACCTCTCTGATAAAAACTGATACTATTGTCACAGATGTGTAGGAATGTCGTAGGGGAATGAAATGAACATACTTGCTCAGGCTATCCACTACCACCAAGATCACTGTGAAGTCTTTTGATTTGAGTAATCCATCTATGAAGTACATATATACCTCTTCCCACACCCGACCTAGCAAAGCTAGTGGCTGTAGTAATTCTCCTGGAGACATAGTCATGTACTTGTTCCTCTGACAGATCTCACATCGGGCTACCACCTCCTCCACATCCTTGTGCATCCCCATTCAGTACAATTCTGAGGCTAGTCTCTTGTATGTCTTTTGCACTCCTGAATGACCCCCATCAACGCTCCCATGAAACTCTTGAAGCAAGTGTGGACTGTGGACTGATGTCCTAGGCATCACAAACCTCCTCTACTATAGAATTATCTCCCCTTCCAATGAATATCTTTGGTGGCTACTCCCCTCCTTCAGTAAATCAGCCCTAATCTTCCCCAACTCCTTATCTCGGACACTCTCCTCAATGGCCTCCCAATCCAACATCATTGAGATTGACCCTGATATCGCCTGTATCTCCTTCATACATCTGGCAAGGCATATGCCGCCTTGTTCTTCACTACCGACCTATACTAGATTTCAATATCATACCCCAGCAGTTTGGACAATCACCTCTGATGCTCCTCTGTCACCATCCATTGCTCCAACAAGTACTCCAGGCTCCGCTAGTCCGTCTTGATAATGAAATGTCTACCTAATAGGTAGGGCCACCACTTCTAAATGGCTAATACAATGGTCATCAACTCCCTCTCGTAAATTGATTTCAACCTGGCCCTAGCTGTCAACACCTTGCTGAAATAGGTAATGGGTCAATGGTTCTGCATGAGCATTGCCCCCAATCTATGATGCACAGATACGGACACGACGACACGGACATGACACAGACATGGGACACGTCATGATGTAGAACGGGTATGAGGATTGAGTCCTATGGGTCTTGAAGAGCAACTCGTGAGGTCCAAACAGCAGCTTTTGACACTTGGGAAATTCTGGACAACAACCAACGGAGGAGGACATGAAGCTCATGTGTGATCGTTGTGGTTGCCGACAAAGAGAGGACAGCAAATTGAAGCTAGGAGGTTCTGGACAGCAGTTTTCTGGTTCCTTGCGATCTAGACAGTAACCTGCAATGTTGGGGAACAGCTTGGACAGTTTCTATAAAGCATTGGGAGCTTTGGACCACCACGTATGGCCTTAAGGGATACAAGACAGCACGTCACCTGTTGGAACACAGGGACAGCCAGCAGGAATCACAGGGATAAGAGAGGAGAACGTGGGGAAACTATTGGGAGGTAACGGTTGTGGTTGGGACAGGTTTGGAAAGGAGAATAAGAGAGTATATGGGGAGGATTTAATTCGGAGGGAAAACAAAGGGCGGCAGCTTAGGTTGAGATTGGGTGGGGAATTAATGAGAGTAATTATGGAGATTAAGGGGATTGGAGAGAGGAAGTGGGCCGGCCATACATGGGGATTTAATTGGGGGGATTTAGAAATTGCTTTCCAAACTTAGGTTGCTAATTGTGGAAAGAGAATTAGAGAGAAATCTCTAATAAAATTCAGATTTGAGAGGATTTGGGAGTTTCCAAAAATAAATCAATCTCATTAGGAAAGGATTACAAATTCAATTTAATTGGAATTTGAAATTTGAATTCTTTTCAAAGTTAATATGATCTAAATTAGGAAAGTATTTAATTCTTTCCCACATGAGAGGTTTTATTTTGGAAAGCATTAAGGATGTGGGAACTAGGAGGGGAAATCAATTCCAATCTAATTTATTTGTTAATTTGAATTAGATTGGAGGATTTTCCTAAAATAGAATCCTATTTAAGGAAATAATTCAAATTTCAAATTTGGATTGGGGGAAAATTTGAAAACTTTCCTAAGATAGATTTTATAATTTATGAAAGAATTTGAATTTCAAATTTGGAAAAATTTGAATTCAAAGATCAACTAAATTATGGCAATCCAAAATTATGAATTATTCAAATTAGGCAATTGGGGTGGGAGAGGGTGTGACCGGTGGTTTGAATGGGGCGGGTAAGGGGTCGGCGGCAAGGTGGAGATACGGGTTGGACACGGTATTATAATTTTTATATTTAAAAATAGTGTATAAAAATTAAATAAGTATAATTTTAAAAATAATTTAAAAATAATAAGTCATTTAACTAGAATTTGTGCTTAAAATGATTAGTATTAGGATGTCGAGAGTTAGGTGTCGATGTCGTTTATCAATCACCGAGAGAGAAGTGAAAATGCCTTCATTGCCAAAAAGAAATGAAAATGAGAATATCCGATGATTGGGTATTAAGTGCGGACGTTGATTCGGTGTTGTGGATAGAAAAATAAGAAATTTATTTTAAA